CACTCCCGTCAGATGTCAAAGAGATAAACAACTACACAACTTTTAGAAGACATCTGAAGGCAGCCCTGTATAGGGAAGTTTTTAATGGCTGATGTTTTTCTGTGGTCTTGTGTCTTGTAAGATGCCCAGAGTGGCTGGGAAAACCCAGCCAGATGGGCTGGGTATTATTAATAATTGGCCTTTTGCTGGGCAGCCATTCAGAGGAGCCCTTCAAAGAGAGGACTATCCATTGTAAAAGTAGGACACAGGGCACACCATCCAGAAAAGGGCAACCAAAATGACCAATGGGATGGAGCAACTTCCCTTTGAGGAAAGGTTGCAGCGTTTCAACTTTTTTGTAAAAATGCTGCAAGCTTTTCCCTCATAGTGGAGTTGTTCCATGCCCTTGATCATTTTTGGTGAGTTAGAGGTGACAAGTTAAAAGTTTATAAAAAGGATGCATGGCACAGAGAAAGTGGATAGAGAAATGTTTTTCTCCTCTTTTAATAACACCGGAACTTATGAAAAATACAAGGAAGCTGAAAAGCTTGAAGATTCAGGGCAGATAATAAGTTAAAGTATGGAACTTGCTCCCACAGGAAGAAGTGATGGCAAGCAACTCAGATAGTTTTAAAAGAGAGTTAGACCATTCCATGGAAGATAAGGATATCAATGGCTAAACTATGTTCTGCCTCCATGGTTAGATGCTTCTGAATACAGTGGTACCCCGGGTTACAGATGCTTCAGGTTACAGACTCTGCTAACCCAGAAATAGTACCTCAGGTTAAGAACTTTACCTCAGGATGAGAACAGAAATTGCACGGTGGCAGTGGGAGACCCCATTAGCTAAAGTGGTACCTCAGGTTAAGAACAGTTTCAGGTTAAGAATGGACCTCCAGAACAAATTAAGTTCTTAATCTGAGGTACCACTGTATCTGTTGCTAGAAACTGTAGGAAGGGAGAACACTCTTGTGCTCAGGTCTGGCTTATGAGTTTCTTGCAGGCATGTGGTTGGCATTGTGAGACCAGGATGCTGGACAAGATGGACCATTGACCAGATCCAATAGGCTCTTCTTATGTTCTTATGTACTATTGCATGCTTAACTCCTCACTAAAATCAATTGAACTTAAAAGTGCTTATCTCTGTGCCCATATACGTATACATTTCCCTTTAAAATTCAAGCATTCTTCACAACAAATCATATGCACCCGAGCATCAGATAAGCAGCTAGGAGATTCCATTATTCAAGGTAATTTCCCACCCCTCCACCTCCGTTGGGTATGCTTGACTTTTGTGGTGAGATATTAATCATTTCCTTTAGCTTCATGTGTATATATAAGAGCATCAAAGTCTTACCAGGTTCAGAACAAGGAAACTGAAGCACACTGCTAGCACCACAATGCTGCCCCACTGTTTGATCATCCTTTGCCTTGGAGCATACATCAATTGCAAACCAGCACGCAATCCGACCGCGAGAAAAGAACTTATACCGGGTGGGCTTATAGAAACACAGCGTCGTCTGACAGATTTGACACAAAGGGTATGCTATAACTGTAAAGCAAAGTTAACTAATGTTTGACTGAACTTTAAAACATTTGATCATGAAAGAATGTGTTTCTACCAGCTAACCTCGTTTTGTATTTTGCTATTTGCAGACCAAAGTGATACCCAAGGATCCAGCCATGGTAAGAAACTAAACCTGCCATCCGTTGCATGCTTACTTAGGAAAGACCTCCTCAGCTCCACTAAATTCAGTGAACCTTGATTCTGAGTAAACATGCGTATAAAACCAAGCCTTTCTGAATGAATCGGAATTGCAGTGGTGGGCACATGAGAAAGTAAAGGAAATTATAGAAGATTTACGTGTGGAAATGTGTCTTTGGAACCCTGCACTTTTCCCTGGCACAGGTTCAACGGAATTTAGGGCCTACCTGATTAAAAGTTAATAGGTACATAGGAAACTCCTCTTATTATATTATGTTATAGGAAGCTGTCATAATGTGATTCAGACCATTGGTCCATCTAGTTCAGTTTTCTGAGTCATTGCACTGACTGGCAATGGCTTTCCAGGTTTCAGACAGGGTTAGGGATGCTGGGAGTTGAATATGGGACCTTCTGCATACAAAGCAGATCATAGAATCATAGAATTGTAGACTTGGAAGAGATCCTGAGGATCATCTGGTCCAATGTATGCAGCTGTCCCATACGCAGATTGAACCTTACCATTATCAGCACCAAACTCTAACTAACTGAGCTACCCAGGCTGTGCTACTGAGCCTTTCCATGTGTACATCCAGAGATAGTGTCTTCAGAGGTGCAGTATTCAGAGATCCCATGAAGCTGCATCCTTTCTAAAATGCCACAGGGACAGGTTAGGTCCAGTGGTCAGTAAACTTTTTCAGCAGGAGGCCGGTCCACTGTCCCTCAGACCTTGCGGGCGGCCAGACTATATTTTTTGGGGGGGGGGGGATGAATGAATTCCTATGCCCCACAAATAACCCAGAGATGCATTTTAAATAAAAGGACACATTCTACTCATGTAAAAACACGCTGATTCCCAGACCATCAGCGGGCCAGATTGAGAAGGCGATTGGGCCAGATCCGACCCCCAGGCCTTAGTTTCCCTACCCATGGGTTAGGATAATAAGACATGAAAAGTTACATAGAATTCTCCTCTCCCAGTCAATAATGGGCCCTTGCCATTTGCTGAGCCTCTTGTAATCCTCTGCCTTTGTTCCTAAGGTCGAGACAACTCTTGAAGATGGGGGGCAGGCAAAGGGGACTATCAAAGCATATCTAATTTTTAACCTTGTCTAATTGAACATGTACTTTGACTTTCACATGGCCACTACTTAACTACATTTTGTCATTTAATATTTACAGACATCACTACTTGTCCCAGAAAACTTCCAGGTAAGAAATTAAAACATTATTATTATTTATTTAAAATGTTGAATCATTTCAAATATTGGGTATGGGTTGCTAGAAGAAGTACTTTTGGTGTGTAAAGCAATTGGCATATTGAAAAGGAGGGAACATGGGTACGACATTAGGATGTCCTGGCTTAAAAGACATCCTTGGAAGTGGGTTATTTTCAAATGGGAACCTATCTTTCAAAATAATGGATTTCCCTTAAAATGGTAAAGCATGATCCTGCCAAAGTTAGTTCCCACTTATTGTGAGTGGTCTTAAAAGGGCTTGTGAGGTACAGAACATTCACCTAATGAAATGTCTTATCATTTATGGATATCAACATGGCATTCTAAGCCTGGGTCAGGAAAAGATATCTATTCAGAACAAATACTACTCCTTTAAAAAGTAGGCATGACTTTCCTGAAAATTCTTTTGTGGAAGGCTCTTAGAAATATGTAAATGGGAATTGTGCAAGAATACTGAATTGTGTCTGGTCTTAAATAACTTTGGCATATAGTATGTTATTCTACAGAAGGCTACATAAATCCTCACATACTCTCATTTCAGGAATTTTGTGTAAAGGATAATTTGGATGTATTTATCAACTCATTGGAATTAGTGAGGGCTGAAACTGATGACAACAGGAGCATCAACAACTTGCGCAGCAACCTTAAGCGCTTAAAAGAAGATTTGCCGAAAAATGATGTAAGTAAAGCTATTTTAGTTAACTTTTCAGCAACGGTATATAGGAACATATTTACCCTTACAGAGACCTTACAAAGTTGCTTTCATTTAGCTCCAGTTTGTCCCTATTTGTACATCCTGATTGATCCATATTGCTATAGGGCCTATAATAATCCAAAGCCAAAATCCAAAGCCTTAGCTATGATGCTGAAGCACTGTTGTATCAAAGGCAGCCAAACCACGAGGTGCTATCTTATTTGCAGTGGTTATAAACAGGTGTTTATGCAGCAGTAGCAAATTCAACATTCTAAGTATGTGTAGTGTATCAGAGCTGACCAACTCTGATCTATTTACGCTGCTCTGCCCAGAGTGGAGGGGGCAACCCAGTCAGGTGGGCAGGGTACAAATAGATTATTTTTATTTTTATTAACACATAACCTCTCCCAAATCCCACTGTAATTCTCTAAATTCCCATTAGGATTTCCCTGACCACATCTTAACAGTGATGTTAAAATATTGGTTGCAGTTGTGGGCTAGAGCTGGGGATCTGGAACCACTCTGATAGTCCTCAGGCACTCCTGAGAATGGCTACAAGTCCATCTAACGCATGTGCTGCTCTGGGGGTGAAGGGAACCCTCAAGTGAACATCTGAGTTGCGCAGAGACTTGGAGCAGAAGGTGTGTGAAGTGTTGATGCAGCCCTGGTCATGAGTGGGACAGTTCCCATTAAATATCAGCTGCCATCACATACAAACTGGATAGGTTGTCTTCTCGTGCCACCTTGGGATCTGGGTCCTCAGTCCTATGAACCACTCTGTCAGTGAAACTGCTGGTAGGACTGTTCCATAAGAATAAGGTTCAGCTCTCTACTGTTAGGATTTAGTAATGTGGCTGGAGGGCCAGGAAAATTATCACAAAGTGGGAAATTGTGGTATATATGCTTAAAATACAGATCTGGTTCAAACTTAGTCATATGCAAGAACTAGCAACTCCAGAATATTACCACTTGCATCAAAAGGATACTTCCTTCCATAGGCCTGGATGATCCATGTGGTGTGGACATAGATGTGCTTTCTGAGCTCCCATGCCCTGTCTTCAGTCACCATAGGTGCACATACAGAAGTTGAATTCTGCATGCAGACCTCTTGTTGAGAGAATGGGGCACATATCATTTGGTGGAGCAGAGCTTCCTCCTTAGGTTGTTGGTAAGGATCCAATGTTGATACAGCAATCAAGTTAGGAAAGAGCATTGAGGGAGAAGCATCTGACTTTGTACGTAAAGTGCATATTCTCAGAGTAATCATTTCAATTCCCATCTTTGGAAATAAACCATGATGGAGCTGCAACAGATAAGTTCCACTGGTTGCAATTGCATTTTACTGGTTATTAAGATACTTGATGGTCATGAAGATGACTAATTTGGGGAGGGTCTGCAGCTTAGTGGTAGAGCATTTGCTCTGCATGCAGATGGTCCTACGTTAAATCCCTGGCATCTTTAAGATGCCTTTTGAATTTGCAATTTCCTTGTCACTGGTCATCTGCTACCATGCCTAACAAAGTAATCCTTTGTATGTACAGAACTAAATTTAGGACTGCAGCCTAAAGGAACTTCTGGTGGTGAAGGTTATCTTCATTAGAAATATTGATATGTTGGGTTAATGCAATCAATTGACAAAAACAACATATTTTTAAATGCTTCAGGAGTGGCCAACATGGTGCTGTCCAGATGTTGTTGGACTACAACTCCCACCATTCCTGACCACTGGCCATGATGGTTGGGACTGATGAGAATTGAATTCAACAGTGTTGGCAGGGCACCAATTTGACTGTCCCTGGATTAGTCACATGTGCGTGGTCAGTAATAAATAGCCTTATAAGTTAGTGATACAAGAGATGCCAACTTCCACCTAAATCAGGAATCATGGGACACCATACTCAACATATCTGCCCTGTGGAAGATAATATTTCTGCACACTGCACTCTGGGTGGTTCCAGACAAGTATTTATTGTGAGATTGGCACCCCTCATATGTGAAGGTTTTCCACAGTTTTCCACCCATCATCGGCATAAAAATGCCAACCCTAATTTGATATTGGATGTTTTTTATTGGAAAATTAATAAAAATGATTTAACAGAAAAATGCCAACCCAGTATTTTTACCCCATTCAATCCTAGTTTTTCCTTTCCGGAAATAATCTGACATTTTTTATTTTTAATAATTGCCCATGACTTGTTTGTGATTTCTCAATGACCCATTGGCAACCTGAAGCCCCTGACTGAAAGCAAGCTGCAAACAATCTAATTTTTCAATGCAAACTTTTTGCCCCACAGGAGAAGAATGAGAATTGCACAGCACCACGCAAAAGTGTTGACAAACTCTTAGAATACCTTGATCGCTTTCTGAAAACCTTGCACAGTCATTTGCGACCCAAAAAAGCAACGCTGTGAACTTGGACCATGCAAAGGATCGTTTGCTCTGCTGTTCAAGAGGATCTCTTTGACTAATCAAGTGTGTTGAACAAACCAGGACTCTCATCAGTATGTATCATGGAAGAAGAAGAAGAAGAAAAGGAATGCAATTTGCTTGTTAACTTATAACAGTGTGTCAAAGATGAAACTATTTATTTATTTAATTAATATATTATTTAATGTTATCGAATTGTAATACATATTTATTTCTGTACGTGCAATCATTCTAGAAATCCTACTACTTATGACCTCATTTTGCACAGGGCCTTCTCGGTAGTGGCGTCTGCCCTGTGGAATGCCCTCCCAGCAGACGTCAAAGGCAATAAACAACTATCTTAAACGACAATTGAAGACAACTGTTTAGGGAAGTTTTTAATGTCTGATGCTGTATTGTTTTTAATACTCGGTTGGAAGCCGCCCAGAGTGGCTGGGGAAACCCAGTCAGATGGGCGGGATATAAATAATAAATTATATTATTATTATTATTATTATGTTATTCAATATTTAATTGATATTTCCACAAATTTCAGCACACAACAAATCCCCAGACATTTCCCTGCTTTATACTCCCTGCCATCCTCCCTTCACCACCTAAAAATACACCCACCCTCCCCAAATTATAAATGATTAAGCAATACCAATATAATAAACAAAAACAGGAGAAACGGGGATAAAGAAAGAAAGGGTGCTCCAAATTTTGTCTTTGTCTGATATGTCTCCCAACTGTTGGGTTTGGGACTCACAGATTAATGGCAAATGGCACCAGAAATCCATCCAGTGAAGACTGGTGCCCTTTGGGATTGGTAGGAGAGAAGGCAGGGAACATTAGATTGGATGGAATCAGAGCCAGTCAGATGCAGAACCAGCTAATTCTATCTTTGTTCCCAGCCTCCTCCCTGCTAGAAGCTGGAGGGTGCTACTCTGGGCTGGTTGTAAGTAGGAAGCTGGCAGCTATTGGGTGGCGGCTTGCTGAGGGCAGTCTGAGCTTTGTGGGGCAGTGCCCCATTTGCCCTAAAAGACTAGCTTCCACTGAACACATCTCAAATCTTGTGAGATTGCCTTTTGATGTTTATTCCACAGGAACTGGGCTGTCAGCTAAGACATAGATCCTCTGTTTCTTTTAACGACCACAGCTCCTCTGGAAGTTAACACTCAACATAGGCTAGGCACTTCTTTCAAATGGGATTGTGAGAAATATTTTGGGCCCTGGTGAAACCATAAGTTATAGACCCTCTTATGTAACATGCTGCTTTTAACTGAGTTATAAGCACTTTTTAAGATGATTGTCCCTGGTTGTCTAGCCAATTCTAGCTGAAAGTTGAGGATTGCAAAACTAAAAAATACCTGCACAGGAATGCAGGTAATTTATATATAGTATTATTGTTCTTTGCAAAATTAGTTATAATTTTATTTATAAAGTATTGCATAATATTTGCAAACCAGGCCAACAAAAATGTATTTATGAAAGTTTTGTGGGTATATAACATATTTAAATAAATTTATTTTGTGCAATTCTTGGTTTTTATTATTATTGTGAGATGGAATGTTCAACTATGGTCCCATGGAATGTTCAACTATGGTCCCATGGTGAATATACTTGTACGCTGGGGTTTTCTCTGTTCCTTCTCCTTGAATCATTTTTCCTAACTGTCATTGCTGAGGTTTGCATGTAAGTGATACAAAGGTCAAGAACAATTTCAGCTCATATTATCTGGTAATGATGGCCAAAGAAATTTTAGAGCCTATATGAAAGTGATTGCTGAAACTTTAGTTCACACAAACCTCTCTGACCTGCAAAGCCTGCCATGTTCATTTTTCTGGATAATATCCCTTTGCACACCCGGATCAGTACCCTCCATTTATAATCATGGAGCAGTTTCATATCTGTAGCTAGCATACAAAGAAACCAGCAGCCTCCCACCAGTATAACAGACAAAATTAATTCATGTTACAGGGATTGAAGGGCAGAATGATATATTATGGGGACATTTGCCTACCTTAAAAAGAGTCTTAAAAACAGTCAGCTTCATGGAGATGGGGATGGCACTGTGCTACAGTGCAGGACAAAATGGCAAGTTCTTTGGAGTAAACCCACTAAACCCTGTATAACTTACCGTATTTCATATATGAAGAATATGTGTATGTGGAAAAACTGGCACGTAATACATTCATACATTATTCTGTGTATACTTTTTCCTAGTCAAGTGATATTGCTGTTGGCGGGTGGGGAAATGGCTCGTCTGACAAAATGAAACCACATATGTGGGCAGTGAAACCACACAGAGATTTCTCCCCATGATAAACCATTTGTGAAGCTCCAGAGTCACTTCACACACACACCATTTGCACATGGAATAACATCCTCTTGTGTCATAGGGTCCAAAACGCAACCAGATACTTGATCAGGAATAGGAGAGATTATCTGATGGAGAGAGCTCTAATATGCAAATGCACCTGCCTGACTTAAAAGTAGTCTCATTCCAATGTGAACACAGTTCCCCACCACAACAAACTCATCCTCAAATTGGGGCCTGCACCCCACCATTGCCCATCCCCCCTTTCCCCTCCTAAAATGGGGAGGGAGGAGATGGTAGCAGGCAAGAAGGAAACCTGCAAGATCTCTCCTCAGCAAGAGGACAGCCTATAAGGCCTCTCCTCAACAGCCCCTGTGGCACAGACCTCTACTCAAACACTGTGTAAATGTGTCAGTTACTAGAGACACTCAAGTTTTGAAATGGGAGGCACACATTTCCTCAACTCTTTTGTAGGCTATCTAGTCCAACCCTCTGATCAATGGAGGGAATCAAGAGCTAGAACCTCCCAAAATGATGCCTTGTCAGCCTCTACTTGAAGGCTTCTGATGAGGCAGATTACCATTCCCACAAGTAATTGGCGCCATAGCTGAAATGCTCTTACAGTAAAGAAGGTTCTCCTAATTTTCAACTGAAATCTACCCTCCTGTAGCTTAAGCCCAGTAAGCAGAGGACAAGTCTTTGCTTTCATTGGGAACATTGCAATGACCACTGGTGAGCAACATGAAACCTTCCAGTCATAAAAAAGTGGGGGAATAGGAGGAGGTTGGGCCGTTACTCATTCCCTTAACATACCACATCAGTTAATGATGAACACTGGAAACAAAAAGTGCTTTCTTCCACTGTGGTGGTAATGTGCTTTAAAATGAGATTATTTTTTAAAAAAAAAATAACGGTGCTGCTGGAATAAAGGAAATGAGGAGAGTGAAAAGGAAACAAGAAGGTAGGTGTGTGTGTGTGTGTGTGTGTGTGTAAACAGAGGTCCTCAACCTTTGTAATGAAAACGCTGAGCTAAGTATATTGTCAGAGGCAACTTGCTTTTTGAATGCTTTTGAGTGGACTTGTTCAGTGGTGAGAAATGTATGTGTTCTCCGGGTCTAGTTGCTTGGCAGCAGAGGTGAGGTCAGTACTTAATTTCTAAAGGAAAGGGTGCTTGGGCTTATGCCATCACTCTGTAAACTCTGCTAATTACTCATAAATGTGGGTGGGAGATGCCATGTTTGCTCAGAGGTTTTGGGGAAAACCTCTCTTAGGTCATTTAATTTTTAACATGTCTACTTTTATGACATGGATTCATTGACTGATCTGTGACTATTACCTACTGCTGTGCATCAATGTTCCTCAGCTGTAAAATGGAACCATATTCTAAACTGTATGCATGGAATGTTGTCCACATACGCATATTAGGAGCATATCTCTTAATGGTGAGCCAAAACTTTGAAATGTTGTCATAACTTCCTCTTTCATCATTTCCACTCCATTGGTTGCCTTTCCCCCTCAATAGTGGTGGCAGACTGGCAGCTGCCATCTTCTTTTGTCCATAATGTTTTGATGGTTGTGAAGAAATGAGGCTTTACTGCCCTCAACTGTATTGATAATGAATGTATTGCTTGTATGTCTTCTTGCAGTCTGTGATGGGGTTATGGGGATGGCTGGAGTCCCAGTAAGTGCCTCAAGATTCCAAACATCAAGACAAAGGCAACCATCATTGCTGAAG